GGAACTACTAGAAAGTCTGCATTCACAATGGAAGTAAGCAAGTAAGCAAAACATGACTGAAACTAAATATTTCAAACATTCTTAATCCCAGCTCTGCTGTCGTTTTCACAACGAAGACGATGGTGAGGAGAAGAAGAGGCGGGAGAATAAATAAAAGAAGAAAAAACGGATAATTCGGGTGGCCACGACTGCGAGACCCATCGGTGTTCATTATGCAGTGCGTTGAGTTTTGAAGCTCCTTGTTAGTGGTCTGAACTAAACCTAAATAGTAGCAATAAATGGGATGGCAGGAATTTGTTTGATTATACGCAAATCCCACCTACAGTCCTTTTGAAACTCAACTATGAAAAGCTCCGAAGCCGTGGTTACCTTCGCCCATCCTGGCGGACAAACTACCAAGAGTATCCATTATCATGGTAGCGGCGAGTATAAGGAAATTTCGAGGACTGGCCCCCAGCGCATCCCGCAATTTTAGTCTTCTGTCTGCGTTGAATGTAATCAACAATCCGCCAAATACCGATTGCGATGAGGGGCGATTATTCGTGATGCGATAGAACTGCAATGAGAGGCCATCTAAATCACGCAAAATGAATGCTACCTCCGCTGCAAATGCAAATTATCTTATTTGGTAGTCCGACTAAGTCCTTGACAAAATTTGTCCATTTATGGTTACGCCTAAGGTAAAAATAAGCAGGCGTGGGTGTGGTAGTTAATTTTGAGGGGCAAATTGTCTTACGATAATTACCTGCATATACAAAACACAACGAAATGGGTTTTACCCACCACCCATACGTCAGATTTCAACTGAAAAAGGTGCTAGAGATTATATCATCGAAAGCCAAAGCAGGTGACCTGTCTGCATAGAATACCCCGCTACCTCACCAACTGTACTCCATGAAAATGTTACGAGGCACGTGACGGGCGTGAGTCTCCAGCAATGTTCGCTGGTGATGACCTTTCGTGCGAGCTGAAGCAGTTAACCCTGGTATCGAACGCAAGTAGGCGCAGGTGGCTCGTTCACTATAGGAGATCTTCACCATGTGCGGGTTTCATTGGTACAAGACGAATGTCTCCTGCTTGTCTAAAACCTACTCAAACTGTAACCTTTAATCCCATTTCCTCCATTTCGGCCATTCAGTTTCAATAGTGACAGAATCATTCCAGTTTTTTGATAAAAAAGATAACACGGTAGCACTAATTATTTCTAGATTTTGGGTGTGGATATGGTATACAAGTCGTTTGATTAACTGAGGCGATCTGCAATCTCGTTATTTACCGTCAAAAATCGTAACATAATTAGTGACCGCTTCACTGCATTTATTCCCTTCCGACTACAAAAGGAAGATTATTCGTATTAATGTACAATCCTGCAGTTTAACGTGACTTCAAATAAACTAGGACAATAAAATGCTATACCTATCATGTTAAGTGAAATCGATAGAAATCGAGACAGTATCTACAAAGGTAGACTACGTTCACTACTGTAGAAAAATTCTTCCTTTGGTGGGAGGTTAATTCCGCAACACATCGGCTTCACTTTTTCTGGGGTAATTTAGTAGGGTCTAAGCTTTTCGGCATTAGACGAGCATAGTGTCAAATGCAAGTACATCGAAGTCATCTAAAATCGTCCTTACTATGTAAAGTAAAACTAAATTTGATATATTTGAATAACTTGCTCGAACCATATGGTAGAGTAGCGTTCTTTGTGTCGACGTTCTTAGTGTATAAATTTTGTTGCGGTCGCATAAATAATAGAAGTTATACTTTTCCTATAAGGTGTGAATAGATTTCCTACGAGCAGTCGTATTGATTGCCTCCGGTGGCTGATGCACTTACTAGACGCACGAAATTTTTTTTTATGTAAGGAAGCGTAGCTGCACGAAATAGCTTTGTGTATTTAAGGAAGCCTAGCTGCATTAGAGCACTATGTAACAACCATGTCTCTAGTCATTCAATCCCGTCTGCGAAGAAAGATGCGTCAGTTGCAGAAAAAGGCTACTGCACCCCTAGATGGGGCCAGGTTTGTTGGTATTTTTGTTTACCACTTTAAAATGCATCAGGCTTCCGTTCAAAAAATCATTGAGATTCAAGAATAAAGGTTGAACCGAATTCTGACGCTAACAAGCCCATAAGAATTCTTGCATGTTTAATGTTTCATGTTTCATCAATAGAGGGTAGGGAACGGATCCGTGTAAACCCCT